GGTTAAGTTGCACTATGCCTTCCAGACTGAAGGAAAGCTTTACCTTATCTTAGATTTCTTAAGAGGAGGAGATCTGTTCACTAGACTATCAAAAGAGGTGAGGTTTGCGGCAGTTGTGTGATTCATGGTTGTTGAAATTCAATGTTCACTGTATGTTTTTGATGCAGACTGACTACAATCAGGTTTTCAGTGTATTTTCTTGTGATTAAGATGGATATAATAAAAATATATTGTATCAGGTGTTATGTAGCTAATTTTGGTCCTGTGATGTTAGCATTTCCTGAGCTAAGCAGATTATTATAACTTTTAAGGTAGAGTAAAGTACACCATATAAAACATATAGAGGCTATAACAGTGCTTGAAAAAAAAGAGTTTAAAAGTACAGTTTCTGTAAAATCAAATGACTTTCTTATAAACATACTTCACTGAATATATAAGGAATTTGTTATGTGCTATAAACATGTTGAAAATGTTTCTTTAATTTTTATGGTCATTATTTCCCTTTCATTATGTGATAGTTTTCTTGCTTTGTATTGTAAAAAGTTGAAGATTAAAAAAAAGAAAAATGAAAGCTGATATTCATTATTTTTTCACACTGGCCTACACAAAATGCAAATCATGATAGATAATAAATAAAGTAGCATATTTGTGTACTGATGCAGTGATAGGATGAGCATGTATGGGAATGTTCTTATGAAGGCTAGATTCCTGATATATTTCTGCAATATTGTTGTCAGTGGGTTCGTTCTCTTTACATGTTGTTCAGCAGCAAAGTAATTACTCGTGATTTCTTTTTCAGATTATGTTCACAGAAGAGGATGTTAAATTCTATTTAGCTGAATTAGCATTAGCACTAGATCATCTACATTCACTTGGCATTATATACAGAGATTTAAAACCTGAAAAGTAAGTAGTTTTTAAAGTTTTAAAGTTTTCTGTATTTGTTACGAAGATGTTTCTATACCTTTCTCGTTTGTTGGCCTCCCTTCTATGAGATGTTTTCATTAATTTCCAAGGAAAGTGGATATTAAATCAAGTTAACAAGTATTAACAAGTTTTCCATCCTTCCAGCATTCTACTAGACGCAGATGGTCACATATCCCTCACAGACTTCGGCCTGTGCAAGGAGGCGCTGGACGACAAAAAAGCGTATAGTTTCTGTGGCACTGTTGAGTACATGGCACCTGAGGTGGTCAACCGCAGGGGGCACAACACTGCTGCAGATTGGTGGTCCTTTGGTGTTCTTTTGGTAAGGCTGTTTGGGATTTGACTAAAGGAGTGTCTCAGAGAATGGAGAGGCTCCTTAATTTACAGGTTTTCAGTTTTACCGGTTTCCTTTTATGATATTTGCTGAGGTATATATTAGCAATCTGTCAGAACAGTAGTTTGGGGAAAAGCTAGTGCTTGTAATAATATCAAACAGACAGTTGTATAGGTGTGTGGCCATACTTTTTTTTTTCTTTTCTTTTTCTGAACCACTAAACTTGTTTGATCATTTATGTGATTGGAGGAGTGCAATGAAACATGAAAATAATATTGTTACATTTTTTCTTATGAAAAGTAGACCTTTGTACTTTATCTCTTTATATATATTGTTTATCAAAGCACAAATCTGATTAAGGAATCAAAGGGGGGAGGGGGCATTTTTGCATTGTTGTCTCATCATGGAATGGAATTAGGGAGCTTGAAAGACAACACTGCTCTTTATACTCAAGTACAATTTTTGTCATAATATGTCTTTTAGTATTAAATTATTATTATCTGTCATTGTTAACTAAGTTTACAGAAGCAATATTTTTATAGAAAAATTAGTAAAATTTCATGTACAGACTATAACTTTTGATAGAAAGAATCCTACCGATGCATTATATCTGTATCTTCTGTAATAGACACATTCCATTATCATTACTTCTTTTTCTTCCAGTTTGAGATGTTAACAGGTGCACTACCATTCCAAGGAGCTAACAGGAAAGAGACCATGACCCTTATTTTGAAAGCGAAGCTGGGAATGCCACCGTACCTGAGTCCAGAGGCCCAGTCTCTCCTCCGGGCGCTCTTCAAGAGAAATCCGGCAAACAGATTAGGTGCAGGTGGGTGGGAGGATTCAGTTTGTTCTCTCGGCCAGAAGGGGAAAGGAAGGATGATTCTCTTTTGGAGTTAGATGAGGAGTTTGATGATTGATTCTCTTCTCTTTTTTGGATGAGGAGTTATGATTATCAGGATCATCATGGGTCTTGGCTTGATATGAGTTATTGATATGATGTGGGATGAATGAGGTGTGTTTCTCATTTTTTTTTTTAAATCAGGAGGTCCAGAGAGGAATCAAGATGGGGATTGGATATTGAATATGTTTAGCCTGAAGTAATTGTAGGACTTTCTTGTAGATGGATAGAAATATTTGGAGAGTTTTTGAATGAGATGTAATCCTGTAAATACTTTTAATCTTATAAAACCAGAGTATGAAAATATGTTCAAATTAGGTGTCAAGATATATCCCTGTAATTTGTTGCAGGGAATATATTGTACAGTTTTTGGATTTTCTTGTAATTCTGCGCACAATTTATCTCTGAAATAACCAATTCCAGAATGTGACAAGAATTTCCAAAGTAATGAAAGCTTTTATTCCGAAATTTAGCATTCTAGATACAATTTCTTGTCTCTTCTTATCTTTAGATTATGGTTCCTAAGCTCATCAGTTTTTCTTTGTTTTTTTTTTTTAAACAAAACATATTTTATTGTTCTCTGTATGCCCATATCTTTCTAGTTATTTGTTTACCACTCCATTGATCTTTTGATATTTACTTTGTGTCATTATTTTCTTAAGTGGACTGAACCTTTATACAGATCTATTTTTTGTTTAGTTTCAGGGGATTGATATATGTTTATATTTCACTCTTTACAGGTGGTTTTCTATAATTTTTGCAAAAGCAAATGATAATTATTTTAATGACGTTTAGAATAAAAATCCCCAAACTCCTTTTCTCAAACTAGTATCTATGCCTCAAAACCCAAAACATATATATTCACTGAACTGGCTGTAAGTAGATTACATCTTCCAAGGAAATGAATCCCTAGGAAGCTTTCGAGTGTTAATGAAATAGGTTTAGGCTAAGACCAAGGATATGAATATGTACAGGGGCATGAATTCTGTGACATTGTTTTACATTAGCAAGATTTATCCTTGCACTATGAGGAAAAGTGATGGTTGTTATCGTCTCTTATTGATAGTGGACTCTTGATAGATTTGTTTATTATTATCACTTTTATGTTGATTTATCTTCATGTGCCTTCTTTCTGCAGGTCCGGAGGGAGTGGAGGAACTGAAGCGTCATCCCTTCTTTGCGTCCATTGACTGGGTCAAATTATATAATAAGGATTGTGAACCGCCATTCAAACCTGCAGTCTCAAAAGCAGATGATACATTCTACTTTGATCAAGAGTTCACCACAAGGACACCAAGAGGTTTGTGACGGGGATTTTTTTGTGTGGATTTTCGTGGATTTTCATTGTTTCTTTCCTGTTTCTTTTTTTGATTTTTTCTGTTGGTTGTTTGGTTGATATAGGGCAATTAATGTGTTTATATCTAATGGAGAATTATTGGTTTACTGGTAATACTGATTAAGTTCCACACACTTTAGTTGTCCACTTTGTACCCTCAATGCAAGAAATTAGTGATTTTTTAAAAGATATAAACCTCCTATTCTTCAGAAATTAAATTGTTTGAACTTGCCCAGAAATTATTTCATATTCAAATTCATATACTTTATTCTTAGTGTTATAGTAGTTACTTAAAGTTCAAAAATTGATGAACAAGTTTTTGAAACAAATACTAAACTGAATATTTTGTTTGTTACAAGAGCTGTGTTCCCGATGCCTATGTTGTTGCTGTACAAATTTATAAGAATGGTTATCTAGTTAATCAGCTCCTGTATTAGAGCAATTGCATGTTATTTTTTGAAGGATTTAAAGGAATCATACTGGATTCTTAACTCTCCATCTATGTATGGTTGTTGTTTTACCTTTTTTGCTAGATTTGTTGCTGAATGTTTGTAGCTTCTGTTAGGGATAACCATGGTACCTTATCTTTTGAAATGGAAATAGAGATTAACCTTATTAATATAAAGAGGAAAGGAAATGTCTATTGGATTTGGTGTTCTTGTTTTGGGAAATCTAGAGATGAGTATTCTGATGTCAGTCATAGCATACTTTTAGATATGGTCAGCATGTTGGAAGATTCCATGGTCAGCCACTGTTGTATACGTCAAGTTCAGGCAGTAAGCTAGATAACTTTATCACTGACAAGTAATTTTTTTTTATTAGAGAGGTTTAAAAATATATATTTCTAAGCAGACACTTATTATTAGAATTGAATATAGATTAATTATTTGATGTCATGTAAAATATTAAAGCATAACAACTTGCAGTGCCATATATGGACAGATAAACAAATGTCTAAAACATTCTTCTTATTCCACAGACTCACCAGGAGTGCCACCTAGTGCCAATGCTCACCAGTTGTTCAAAGGATTCAGTTTTGTGGCACCGTTCTTATTAGAAGATCAGTTAGATGGTATAGAAATGATACAGTCACATGCTATAGAAAAATCATCACCTCTAAGCAAGGTTTGTAAGATTCAATAATATTTCTCTATAGTTATTGCTAATGTTTGCATATTTATTGATTTATCAATTGATAGAGAAACTTATCTTTTTTTCTGAATTATTGTTGTTGTTATTTATTTATTTATTTTTGAAGTGTGCCAGAAAGATCCATTTGAAGATCTGTTAGGTCCAGAGAAGTAAAAACAAATCAAGTTATCATTCTGTCCTTTTGCAAGTGTTATATCGATCATACTGATTTTTTTTTATTATTCGCACAGAGATTATCTGGAGTTAAACCCAATAGCATTCACGACGAGTACCTTCTGTGCGAGGAAATCGGCCGGGGAAGCTACAGCGTGTGCCGGCGTTGCATGCATCGCTCCACCAGGATAGAGTACGCTGTCAAAGTCATTCCCAAGAAGACCAGAGATTGCCAGGAGGAGATCGAGATACTCTACAGATACGGGCATCATCCCAACATCATATCTTTAAGAGATGTGAGTTGAGGTGTTTTTTTCTCTTACTTCTTTTCTTTCTTTTTTTTTGTTTGTTTGTTTCTTTTTTGTCTGTTTTGGGGCATGTTACAGGCATTGTCACAGTGGTACATGTTTAAAAAGTGAGTCAAAATTTTGTCTTGCTTTATAGGCATGACATGAACATTGTTCATTTATATCCTTGAGAAGTGTAGGTTGAGATTTGTTATTAAATTGCAATCTTCAACATCAGTTATATCAGTCAGTGTTAGAATGTAAAAGTAAAGTTAAGAATGTAAAAGTTATATTGAAATGCTTATCTTAAGACATGTCTGTTTTTCCTTGCAAATATTAGGTATTTACTGAAATGCCTTGTAAGAAATATATATTCAAGTTCACATAGGAACTGAATTAGATTGGTTTGGGACAGGATAAGACTTTTGTACCTTGTTATATATTTTTTGTCACTGAGGGATTGGTTGTTATTTTTTCAAGTAAATATTTTTTTTACTAGAGATTCCTAACCATCAAGTTGAAACTTTTCTATATGCTGTTTTTAGAATTTTTGTCGAGGCTTTTTGTGTGTTCTAGTTTAAAGGAGATTCATGCAATATTCCCTGTCTGATATGAATTAAGAAATAATTTTATTTTACAGTCTTTATGTCATCATCAAGCTGTTTTTTTGATTTGGCATAATTATGAATAAATTAGTCATGAATTGATTACTATTCAGTAAATCTTTCTTTCTGATTTTTTTACGTTATAACTTCATTCAGCACTTTATGCTATTAAAGTTTGGTAGGCTTTAATAACATATTGTTTATAGAAGAGGCAGTTCTCGGAAAAGCAAATGAGGTTTATGCTCCAAGTGTTGAGGAAATTGATATTGTAAAGTAGAATTGTTTTCCATATAATAATTCCTTTCCATTTTTTTTTACTTTCATTAGATTTTGATGTACTCTTAGGTTTTTTATTTACACTGTATGAAAATACATTACTTTTTTTTTATCCTGTTTTGGGCTTAATTTGTATTCATAGTCATACTTTAAGGAACACACTGGTACAGGGAACATGTGATATTTACTTGGGTCTTTTTTTTTCTTTATTAATTTTGCTTGCACTTAGCTGGCTTCACAAGTGCTTAGTCGCCAAGGTGTCTGTGACAAAACTTAACAAAACAAAACATGTATAGCCAATTCTTTGAATTATTGGGTATTTTTTTTCATATTATTGTTAATGTAATTATTATTGTTTGTATTGTCATGATAATGATGATTATTCTTATCATATATATTTGTATAATGATGATCATTATCAATTAATGAAATATTAGCAATGTAAATAAGGGGAAAAGATATTTAATTCATTATGAAAATTTCATTACTTTGGTAAACAGGTTAGTTTAAGTAGGCTCAGTTGTTGACATCTTGGTGACTGTGTCCTTGTGAAGCCATCTATGTGTTAATAAAGCAAAACCACAGTACACATGCACTCCCTGCTTTATTGGGTTAAGAATGTAGTTCTTAGATAGTCAACTTTACTTATAAATATGTATTAGGAAGCAAATTCAGCTTGATAAACAAACTATGCTTTGGTTATTATATATATATATATATATATATATATATATATATATATATATATATATATATATATATATATATATATATATATATATATATATATATATATATATATATGATTTTTTATTTGTATTGACATGGACATGTGCTTGGGGATAAGCCTTTTGTTGCTATTACAGTTTCAGTTGCCCAGATAAACATTTTATAAGGGATTGGTCAACTGTATTTATACTTTTGGTAAAGTTGAAGTCAAGTTCTTATAATGATGTTTTCCAGGTTTTGCTTATTATTTTTGTTTACTGAAAATTTCTGTATGTGATTTTATAATTTATTTTTCATTTTCTTCTGATTTGCAAGACTTGAATTTTCACATATTTTTTGATAGACACTCATGATTATGATTACATGGATTTATTTAAAATTTATCACCAGGTATATGAAGATGACTCGCATGTGTACCTGGTAATGGAGATGATGACTGGGGGGGAGCTCTTAGACAAAATCCTTCGCCAGAAGTTCTTCTCAGAAAGGGAAGCCTCAGCCGTGTTGCTGACTCTAACCCGCGCCGTCCAGTACCTGCACCAGAATGGGGTGAGTTGCCGTGTCTGTGTCTGTGTCTCGTAGATTTAGGGTTTCGAAATCTGGTGGATTGGAGTCTTGGAGAGGCTGGTTCGGGCAGGGTTTTGAGGTGTGGATTTTTTGTGTTTTGTAGGCTGGTAGATGCAGGTTTTAAGGAGTGTTTGTTTGTTTCAGAGGAGGCTCATGAATGTAAGTTTTCAGAAGGGTGATATGTAAATTTTAGAGGTTGATTGATTAGTGTAAGTTTCATAGCTTGGACAGTA